CTAGGAGACCTGCTGAATTATTCACACTAGTCCCATTGCCTGTTCAACCTGCTCCATCTTGCCTTTCTTATCTTACTTGTTCATAAATGTCATGGATAACTGGGAATGGTATGCACACCTGTAATCCTAGCACTCTGGGAGATTAAGGCAAGGGGATTATACATTCAAGTTCAACCACACATCTAAGTCCAGCCTAGGCAATTTAGAGACTCAGTAAGACCTTGTCCCAAAACAAGTAATTAAAAAACTCCTGGGGATGTAGCTTAGAGCAAAGCTCTTAGGCTTACTCCTCAGTATCACGGGCAAAGATTCTCCCCTTCACTTCTGCTTTTTCTGCCTTCTAGTACTTCTAGTAATCTTCTATGTGGTCTCACTATAGTTACTCTGTAGTGAGAGGTACTTTTTGAAGGGCTGTCAAGAAGGTGGTATAGCCTTTATCCCAGGAATGAAGGATGAAGTAACAAGAGAAATTCTCTTGGGGCTGGGGATTTAGCTCAGCGGCATAAGCGCCTGCCTTGTAAGCAAGCAGCCCTGAGTTCAATCCCTGGCAATGATAAAAATAAAAAATTAAAAATTAAAAAAAAAGAGAGAAATTCTCTTCCCATGCAGAGATAAACTATGGAAAGAATAAGAAAGCTGGGCATGGTGGCATATGCCTTTAATCTTAGCAATTGAGAGGCTGAAGCAGAAGGATTGCCAGAAGTGAGTCAGCTCTCCCAGAGCATGACAACTTTGTTTCCTTGAGGCTGTCTTATCACATAAAAGAACACAGGACAGTATGTGAGCTGTCTATTGTACGTGGAGGCTTTTAGGATCTTTTCTTTCTCTTGGTAAAATGAAATATGACACTGAGGGTAGCTCGATGTGTATTTTGTAAAATCACTGTTCTGGTGATGGAAGATATAGCTTAATGGCACAGTCCTACCTAGCAAGCACGAGGACATGAGTTCGATTCTTGGTACCAAAACAAATAAATAAAATCATTATTCTGAGTAGTTGGGTACTTACAATACAGATTTTCATGTCTTTGAATTGTGAGAACTATGTCATCTTACTGCTTTTATTTAAGTCACCTCCTTTTGTCTCAACTTTTCTTTTTCTCCTGCAAGTTCTTTTAGTTGGCTGTTGGGACTCACAGCTGATCCCTAGTTCCATTATTTTTATTTTTTTTTTTGTCTTGCTTTCTTTTTTTTTTTTTAATTTTATTTAAGGAGACAAAAGGAAAAAAACAGAAAAAGGGTAGAAGCTATCAGAATTTCAGAAAAAATAAGCAGTAGGAAATCACTAGTTAATTATATATTGTCATCTTAGAAATAGTGGTTGAAGTTACAAAATTAAAGCACATAGAGGGGACTTTCAAACAGTGAGACTGCAAACAGTTTTGTTCAATAATCCAACAAAACTCAGTAATATGGTTATCTATCTTATACACTTAAATATATATGCAGTTATATCTTTTAGAGAACTTTCTTTTCCTTTCTTTTGTACAATGACAATTACACATTTTGGGTTTTATTACTCCCACAGTTCTTACTACTTTTTTTTTTAAGAAATTAAAACCAAATGTGACATACCAGGACAGAGTCAGTCAAATCAAAAGAATGGACATAATACATAATGTAAAAACAAAATACAAGGTGATCAACAATGGTTACCATAATGCCTCTTGTTATCTTAAAAAGAATTGCCTATATCATCAGTTATAATAAAATTGAACAAAACAGTAAAGAATAAGACCAATAAAACCAAAACATTGGAGACATTAGAGGACTTCAAAAGAAGATAATAGTCAACCAGAATGGCGTCACAATGGATCATATAGTCTTCATAGTTGTTGCCTAGACTTTCAAACTTGGTACTATCTAGCATAACAGAATAGAGGAAAATCAGTGAAAACAAGATGGTGAGAGCAATACAGAGTTTCCAATCAAGTTAATAGGAAATCAAAGTGGGTTACTATAATATATCCTGCTATTTTTTATTTATTTTTCCCTTAATTAAAAAGATAAAACTGAAAAAGTAGATAATAAAAAGGAGATTGAGATAAAAAAGAGGGCATAACAACAAAACAGTGCAGGTCAAAACATAGCCATTTAAGCAAAATAGTGTTTCACCACAAGATAATCTCGACATAATCGTAGTTACCATAGTGTCTCTTCCCTTAAAATCTTTGGATATAACTTCATATACTGTAGCATCAAACATATCAAGACAATGTAAAACCGTTCAAGAGAATGACAGTATTACAGGGTATTTAGAATCAACTAACAGAAAATGAACAATGGTTTCTGTATAATCTCCTTGTCTATAAAAGTTTTTGTTTATATTATCACATATAATAAAATCCAGTAAGATACAACAGGTTAAAACCGATGGAGACAGAAGAACAAAAGCTTGATGGGACTTCAAAACAAGAGGATTTTAAATCAGCACTACCTATTATGATGTCTTGTTTTCTCCAAAATGGCTGTTCCTACCATCCAACCTTCTCTGCCTCATTTCTGCTGAGCTTTTTTTCTGTCACTAGTTGTCAGTTTGTCCTCTTCATTTCGCTTTCTGCTCCATTCATTGTGGCCGCTCTGCCACTTTTCTGGAATCTTGGTATCTTTCATTTTTAGAATATCCTGCAGTAATCTCTGTAGAGTTGAATTGGTGGTTGCAAATTCCTCTAGTTCCTCTTTATCCTGGAAGCACCTTGTTTTTCCACCAATTTTTAGGGACAGTTGTGCAGGATATATCAATCTTGGCTGGAGGTTATTATCTTTCAAAGCTTGAATTATTTCCCCCCATGCTCTTCGTGATTTGATGGTTTGTGCTGAGAAGTCTGCTGTAATTCTGATGGGTGTTCCCTTGTAAGTGATCTGTTTCTTGTCTCTGACGGCTTTTAATATTCTGTTCTTATATTGGATTTCTGGTATTTTGATTATTATATGCCTGGGTGTAGCTCTGTTTGGTTTGTAGGTGGCTGGGGTCCTATATGCTTCATACATCTGAGTATCTTTACCTTTTGCTAAATTAGGGAAATTCTCCTGGATTATTTCTATGAATAGCTTTTGTAATTCATTTGTTTGAGTCCCTACTTCTTTTATGTTCTTAATTCTTAAGTTATAGATCCTCTTGTCATCTTCTAGTCTTTGTATTATTGCTATTTGTTTTCTTGTTATTTTTAAGAATTTTTTCATTTCATGCTCCTACCTTACAAATCTGTCCTCCAGTTCTGATAATCTATGCTTAGTTTCTTTCAAGCTGTTATGCCAGCTTTCAATAGAGTTTTTAGTTTCCTGGTAATCTCTGTGAACCTGCTTCACGTATTCTGTTTTCTCTATTTTCTCCATCAAACAATTCTCCCCTTTTTTTCTGTTCTTCCATTCCACCATCTGTTTTTTCTTGGGTGGTGCTTAGCATTTCTCTAACTATTCTACTTATTTCTTGCTTTATTTCATTAAATACTTCATTTTTGAACTTGTCTATGAGGCTCCGGAGATACTGTTTTATATCTATAGGTGCCGTGTCTGATATTGCATGTTTTCTGTCTTCATTCTCTTTTGCTTTTACCTTTCCTGGATCAGTGTTCTCAGGATTGGGGACTGAGGAGCCTTTCTTGTTGCTCCCTTTTCCCATACTTTTTGTTCCTTCCATACAAGTGTATGTAGGAGGCTCAGTTTTTTTTTTTCTCTTTGTCTGTGGCAGTTTGTTTGAATCCGCCAGCTAAGTATTCCCACCCACTACAATGTACTAGGCAGACACAGACCTGGGCAGCCTCTGCTGGGCCCGCCCCTCCAGGTCAACCTACTGAATGTTTCACTGCTAGGGTGCACTGCCAGGCACAGGGACCTGATTTGGGCTAGCCTACAGGATCTTAGTCTGCAGAGAGACCAGGCCAAGCGCTCCCCACCAATCTCGCTTGAGAGGGGAATATGTGACTAAAGTCACTGCAGGGCTGTGTTCCGGCTAGTCTGCCCATTCCCAGAATGTCCTCTGTTGGAGCCTCCTAGTCTATGAAAGGGTCCCCATTTCACTCACTGCAGGTCGAGCCAGTCCCACTCTCAACGCTGTTTGGGCCGATTCCCACTCTCAGAGCTTTGGTGTGCCTCTCTCCCCGCTGTGCGGATTGGGACGCAGTATCAGCAGCAGGAAATTCAAATGGCAGCTTCCAGTGGTGCGGGATCCAGCTTACGCACTGAGATTTTATCTGTTCCTGTTATATCATCAGGAGTGCATTTCCAGTTGGTTTCTCTCAGCTTACTTTGTTCCTGGGTTGGCAAGGTATATCTCCCCTCGCGTGGGACTCCTCACATGGCACCGCTCCTGTATTCTAAAGCTGGTAATCTCAGAGAGCCTCCGTGGCTGCTGTTATTTGTCTGCCATGTTCTCCCGGAAGTTTTTTGTCTTGCTTTCTGAGACCTTTATTCCCCAACCCTTCTGCTTAAATATTTCACCTATCATTTTACTTTCCTAAGGTTTTTCTTAGTGTTTTGGCTATATATACACAGTGCCATGATATAGTTGAAGCTGGCCTCTAACTCACTATATATCCCAGCCCAGACTCACGCCTGGCAGTCCTTCTTCTTCAGCCTCCCCGTTGCTAAGATTACAGGCATGCACCACCATGCTCAGCTTTCTTTTTCTTTCAATAGTTCATTTCCTTGTATGAGTAAGAATTTCTTCTTACTCCATCCTTCATTCTTGGGATGAAGGCTGTACTACCTTTTTAACCTTTCCAAAGGTAACCTCTCACTGTAGAGTGACTTACCACAGCATTGAACTGGAGCCAAGGATGAGGTGGGTTCATGGGTTTCAGTACAAGAATAAAAGGAAAGATATGGGGGTTTGCATTGGTAAACATCCTGAAAAATTAAGTAAAATAATTTCTCTTGAAAGAATTTAAGTGTTCACTTAAGGAGAATACTTAAAAAGGAGCTTGGGAATTCTGTTAACATTTGCTTATTTCACTCTTATGCAGGGATGAAATGGCAGCAATTTGTATTTTTATGTTTCAGATTTGGAAACTAAAGCTGAGAACAAGGAGTTGATCCCAGAGGAACAAATATTTGAAGAAGTGAAGCCCCAGCCATGGCTACAAACAGTGTCCGAAGGAAAGGCATCTCTGTTTTCTGAGGGTGCCAGTATCGATGAGGACAGAGTTGAGAAGCAGCCAACAAACTTCATGTCACTAAAACTCAAAAATTCTCCTGAAGAGCAAAGACTCACCAGCATCTCAAATCTCAATATAAAGGGCTCTACAGAAGGAGTATCTAAAAGTAATGAATTTGAGAATGGGGCCAGAAATTCCAGCTTTATTATTGGTCAGCACAACCAGACTGTGTCAAGGCCCATTGATGGTAAAGAATATAGGAACAAGCATAAACAAAGTGTAGATAAGGTGAACTGTCATATAGTAAAACCTCACAAGTCTGTTCACATTGGAGATAATGTTCCTTGCTCTGGCCTTTTTGAGACCCAGAGGCAGTTTTGTGAAAGACGTTACAAATGTGATAGCTGTGAGAAGAGTTTCAAACAGCGTTCAGATCTCTATAAACATCAGAGGATCCACACAGGTGAGAAACCTTATGAATGCCAAGAATGTGGGAAAAGCTTCAGTCAGAGTGCTGCTCTCATTAAACACCAGAGGACACACACAGGTGAGAAACCATATGCCTGCATGCAGTGTGGGGAATGCTTCAGACAGAGCTCACATCTAAATCGGCATCAGAAAACACATGTTGGAAAGAAATACTGTAAATGTGTTGAATGTGAGGAGACCTGCAACAATTCCAGCCGTTTTAGGCATCAGAGACTCCATAATGGGGAGCGACGCTACAAATGTGAGGAGTGTGAGAAGAGCTTCAAACAGAGTTCAGACCTCTTTAAGCACCAGAGAATCCACACTGGGGAGAAGCCTTATAGATGTTCTTTCTGCGGGAAAAGCTTCAGTCAGAGTGCAACTCTCATTAAACACTGTAGAACTCACACTGGAGAAAAACCTTATAAATGTTTGGAATGTGGGAGAAGCTTTAGACAGAGTACACACCTTATCCGACACCAAAGCATCCATCGAAATAAAGACCCATGCATTTGATACGCTTTTGTGTGACCTGTGTTTCGTTCATGCTGTTTTTGGTTTCCTTGTCCAGAAATTCCATTCTTTGGCATTTAGAGTACACCACTCACTTGTGGATTAATTGTATTTCCTTTGGCATCCTACATATGATAGGATTGGTCTGACTTGAGTCTCAGTAAATACTTTATATAGTATTTCAGTAAAGAAAGAATGAGTAAAAGTCTGCCAAAAGATGAGGTGGTTACTTGTAAGATGTTTAATAAGAGCAAGGGCTGATAAATGGCCTAATTTTCATCCCTGTCATTGTCACTGCTCCTACCTCTGCCTTTGAACAAAATCATCTCCACTTCAGCTACTTCCCTAAGAATTTATGTTGGTCACTTAATTATCATTGATGGTGAAGAGGATTTCAACTACTTATAATCCCCAAAACACAAAGTAAATTTCAACACATAGAAGAGGCACTAGTTTTTACTTTTTAAAGAAAATTAATTTTGAAGAGCCTCTTTGGGTTTTGGTTTTGGGTTTTGGAATTTTTTCGGTTTTTTGTTTTGTTGTTTGGTAACAGGGATCAAACTCATGACCTCACATTTACCAAGCAAGCACTTAATGCCACTGAGCTAAATCCCTGGCCCTATTTTTGTTTTTTTGTAACAGGGACTCACTATGTAGTTCAGGCTTGCTTTGATCTATGTAGTCCAGGTTAGCCACCAACTGATAATGATCCTGCTGCCTCATTCTCTACAGCCTATTGAATAGGGCTCATTATTTGATAAGTTGGTTTTTAAATCAAGTCATCACTACACCATTCAATATATGGACTCTTGTCATTCCAAATGAGATGTCTTGCCATGAGGGAAATAAGGGAATGCTTCTGCAGAGTTTGCTTAGCGTTTTCGAAATGGGAACTCACTGAAGATAGATAACCTGTGGTTCTTCTTATTGGTCAGTTTTCCCATTGCTGGGGGGAAAAATACCTGAAATATACTTAAAAGTGTTGTAGCTTGATATAAATGATGCCATCTTATGCCCTGTATTTGACCCAAAAGAGTGAAAAATTACCTTGAGTACAATCCCATGAGAAAAGCAAAATGAGCTGCACCCACAAGAAAAAACCTGCTCAACAAAGCAGGATACAGATGTCAAGCAAAAATTAATGTAAGACTCTGCCTAAATTGTTTCCAACAGGATGTCTTTTTTGTGGTTTTCTGTTTTAAAAGCTCTGTAACTCCCTCCAGTTCTTGGCCATTCTGTAGGACTCTGAAATGGGTTTATATCCAAGTGTTCCTGAGCTCAGCTAATGAAATTCTAAATTTAAAGTTCTAAATTCTAAATTCATCAATTTGGCTGCTTGGATTTCTATATTGTTCACCCACTTCATTTGGGGTCTCAACCAGGATGAAATAATGCCCTTGGAACAGCTTGGCTAATTTGGTTCCTCCTAAGTGGGTTGCCCAATGAGTCTCTTGGATGGGGGGGGGCCCTAATAATTCTGGGATGGGAATTTGCCTGTCCAGTAAGGTCTGCTAGCCTTCAGGAGACAGTTGGGCCTCTAAGTGCTTGGCTGGTCTCAAGTCTAAATCTGAATAAGATGGCTTGGGTAGCACAGGTGGCAGAAGAGCTGGGAGGAGCATTATAGGCCCCACTTGTTTTAGTGCCACTTCTTTGGCTGTCTTAGTGGGGCATTTCCATGAGCTATTAGGGTATCTTTTCATTGGTGCCCCAAGCAATGCATAATGGGAAACTTGGTTCCCAGCCAGATGGCAGCCAGTAGGTCTAAGATCTTGGCATTCTTTATCTTTGTGCTGAGGTTAATAGTCCTCTTTCCTATTAAGTGGCCCCATGAACATGGATGGTAGCAAAAGCATAATATATATATATATAGTCCCCATCTTAAGTCTTGAGTAAGGGCTATCAGTTCTGCCCACTGAGCTGAAGTTCCTGACCCTAGAGCTTTGGCCCATATCACCTCAGTTTTGGTGATCATTAGCTCCTGTCACTCGAGTACCTTAGTGGAAGTAACTGCCACCGTCTGTGAAAAGGATGGCTTCAGGCAGGAGGGCTGCAGCATTCACAAGCGGCCATCAGTCAGGTCAGCTTGCAGGCTTCAGACCGAGTCCACAATGTATATGATTACGTATCAGCATTGAGGGATCATCATCCAGCAGAAAAGTCGCTGGACTGAGGGCAGAGGTAGACAACTCGAAGCAGTCGGGATCTGATAGAAGGGCTTGATACTAGACAATATGAGTGTTGGAAAGCCATCTTTTGGGCGGCAACCACAATAGTGTCTCTACAACATGGGGCCACTATCTGGAGTCCCTGGCCAAAAGTCAACTTAGAGGCTTCCTTGGTGAGTATTGTAGTGGCTGCAATTGTCTGTAGGCAATTTGGCCATCCTGTAGCCATGGGTCTAATCGCCAGAAAAGATTGGTGACAGGCCTCTTCCAGGGTCCTAGGTACTAGGTTAAGACCCCTTTTGTGATCCCATGACTCTCGGCCACATGCAATTAGAAAAGTTTGGCTAAGTCAGAGAGAGTGAGGGCTGCAGCATTCACAAGAATCTGTCTTAAATCATTGAAAGCTTTTTCTTCTAGCTCAGTCCAGGTTAAAGGTCCAGATGGAGCCCCTCCAGTAGAGGTGTAGAGTGGCTGAGCCATTTCAACAAAACCCAGAATCCACAACCACCAGTAGCCAAAGGCACCTAAAATTCTCTAACTTGGTGCGTGGTCTTTGGGGAATGGATTTTTAAGATAACCTCAATCCTTTCATCTGACAAAGTCGGTTTTCCTTCCTCTAATACATACCCCAGGTAAGTGACTTTGGGCAGGCGGAGCTGTGCCTTTTTGGTAGGGACTCAATAGCCCAGTTTGTCTAAATCTCTCAATAGGACCTCTGTGGCATCCAGACAAGAGGGCAAGTCTGCAGTGGCCAGTAATAAATCATCAACATATAGAAGAAGCTCAGTGCTGGAGGGGTGTTCTGTCCAAAAACCTTGGAGGTCCCTGCTCAGGGCCCCATCAAATAGAATTGGTGCATTTTTGAACCCTTGGGGTAAACGCATCCAGGTCAATTGTCCTGATCTCCCATCTTAGGTCTGTCCATTCAAAGGCAAAGAGGAGTTGTCATACTGGAGCCGGTGGTAGGAAGAAGAAGGCATCTTTCAGGTCCAATGCACAGTAGCAGGGGTGCATAGGAGGCAGCAAAATGAGCAGAGTATATGGATTAGGGACAGTGGGGTATAGAGTTATAACTTATTTACCTCTTGGATGTCTTGGACAGGCCAGTAGTCTGAAGTCCCAGGCTTCTGGACAGATAGCAAAGGCATGTTCCAGGCTGATTTACAAGGAACCAGGAAATTTGCCTCTTTCAGCCTTCACATGTGCTTGGAAATTCATTCATTTGGAGGCTCACTTGGGATCCCTCATTAGGGATTTACAGGATCCAAACCTCTCTTTAAAGCAATTATTCCTCAGGGGGACTGCCAAGAGACATTCCTCACCCCTGAGGAATCCCTAGGTTTCAAAGAGAAACCAAAACCCTGAGTGCTAAATTCAGAAGGAGCCATCAGGATCCTTACTAGTAAGATTGTGTTAGTTTGGGGTGCCCCTTGAAGTCCCTTGAGACATTGGGTGCAACATTACAGTTTCCACAACCCATTCCCAGACCAAGACCTTGGTCTGAGACTTGTTGACCTTAGGGTCCAATTAGTACCTGGTGTCAGTTTACAAACTGACTTAGTCTGTGTCTTTGTCTTATTAATCTTGTTTGTCACCAGCTTAGTGTTTGTTATTGGTGTCAGTGGGTCAGTCAGCTTCTGCTTCTCTGTCACCCTTGCAATGTGTTCTTAACCATTTTCAGGAATTTTGTTAGAGAGCCTCTTCCTATGGTGAACCTATTTACACACGGAAGCTCTGAACTTTTTGTGAATTTGAATGGCCTACTTTCAGAGTCTTTTGGCCTCTGGAAGGGACTTTTAACCTCTCTTTATGTCCCTCATACACCTGTAACAGACAGCCCTTCTCTAAGGCTTCCTCCCACCCAAGACCCTTTTCTTCAGACTGCACTTCTGCCCCCTGGCTGTCCTCTTTTACTCCTCCACGAGGCTGTGGAGAGGAGTCTCCCAGACCCTTCCTAGTCTATGTCCTCTTCTTCACCAGTGATATTTACAATTGGAAACAACAAAACCACTTGTTCTCCCAGGGGCTCATTTGCCTCCTTGAGTATGTTTTCTTTAAGCATCAGCCCACCTGGGACAACTGCCAAAAGCTTCTCCAGATTCTTTTCACTTCTGAGGAAAGAGAATGCATCTGTAGGTGGCAGACTGTGGCCCTTCCAAGGGGAGAACCACCCGCAGCTCCTGAGATCCACACCATGCTGGAACTTAGGACGCTGGAAAACAGAAGCTAGCCTCCCTGGTAAGTGGCAGTGGTGTGGCAGACTGCGGCCCTTCCAGGGGGAGAACTACCAGTGTCTTCTGAGATCCACACCATGTTGGAACTTAGGAAGCTGGGAAACTAACCAACAAGCCTGCCTCCCTGATAAGCAATAGTGAACCTACTGGTGCAAGGCCTAGAGTCAAACATCCCACTTCCCCTACCCCTCTTCTCCTGTCCCCCGTTAGCAAATGGGAACTAGAAATCTGAGCATCTCCTGGGAGGTTGACATAGCAAATAAGGGGGATTTCCTTCTACCATCTCTTTGAAGACAAATATTTTTATTACTATTTTGCTCTATTCTGATTAACGATACTGCTCTATTCAATATTCTGTTTTGATAAATTCTATAATGTTCTGTATTTCATTTTATTTTGATATATGTGATTGAAAGAACAACTATTATAAAGATAACAAAATATACTGATACCTATTACTGTTATCCCGGTAACCTGCTGTGAAGTTCTGCACCAATTTCACTGTATGATCTTAGTTGAGTTGGCTTTATTCTGTCTTGTTCTGTTGTATTTTACTACTTTCAAAATAAAATTTAAAAAAAAGAGAGAGAGAATGTGTCTGCACCC